CTTTCAGGGATGGGACCTTCTCCAAGAAGCATTTTAATAGAGTATTTTTTATGGGAGCAGTTTTATCTTTGCGTTGGGATAAAACCACACGAAGCGTTTCCGAGCAGAAATATTGAGAGTGTTCAAATACCACTGAGCCAATTTTCTGGAAATCTCAATTATTTTCCCTTTGTAGATTAGAAAGTCAGCCCAGGGTCTGCTCTAATGCCTGTAAAAGTCAATGGGAGATTTCCCATTAATTCTCTGGAGAGATGGATCACTTTGGTTCTCAGCTGCAAAGCCTTTAAGCTTTGCTATTTTTGAGCTCTGCAAAAGTAAGATTTACATATTGGTAAATTGGACCTTGCGAGTTCCAGAAGGTTGGGGCTAATTTTCCACGAGCATTTGGGGGAGAAATAAGATATCCAAGCACAGCCTAAAAATCAAATATAACTGTAAGTAATGCCAGGTAAGTGCCTGGTTTCAGACCAGATTTACATTGCACACTTGATACTGAAAAGTGATTTAGGACAAAAACCACTGCCTTTGAGTGTGTTTTGAGTGTGTATTGAGTGGTTACAGGACATTTTCAGGAGGAATTTCTCCCTGGAAAGGGTGGTCAGGCCCTGGCAGGGGCTGCCCAGGGAGGTTTGGAGTGCCCAGCCCTGGAGGTGTCCAAGGCAGGCCTGGCCGTGGCACTCAGTGCTCTGGGCTGGGGACAAGGTGGGGATGGGCACAGGGGGATCCATGGGCTGGGAGGGCTTTTCCAGCCTCAGGGGTTCTGGGATTCAGTGGCCCTTAATTAAGATTTTGGCTTTATTATTTAATGTTATTAGAGTGGAACATGATGCAGTTGGTGGTTGCTCCGTGGCAGGAGAGGGGGGAGTGGGGAGAGTCACTCCTGGCCTGAGAGCAGCTGTGCTGCAGGAGCAGCTTTTAGGGATTGGTTGGATGAGCCCATTTTTCATAGGAATAAACATTCAGGGCAGCTTTGCCTGACTTTGTACCAAAAACTCAACTCCTGAGTATTTTCACAGAATTGTAGAACCCCAGACTGGTTTGGGTGGGAAGGGACCTCAAAGCCCACCCAGTGCCACCCCTGCCATGGGCAGGGACACCTTCCACCAGCCCAGGGTGCTCCAGCCTGGCCTTGGACACTTCCAGGGATCCAGGGGCAGCCACAGCTTCTCTGGGAATTCCATCCCAACCCATCCCCACCCTCCCAGCCAGGAATTCCTTCCCAGTATCCCATCTATCCCTACCCTCTTTCAGTTTGAAGCCACTCCCCCTTGTCCCTGTGCAAATGCAGGATTCATTCTCTGCTCACAGGTGGCTTCTCATGGTCAACCCTCACACCCATTGCCCTGCCTGACTTTTTTGGTTGCTCCATTTTTAAGTCACTCACCCTGTTAAAAAAAATCTGCAGGAAAAACAGGCAAAGCAAATGAAAGGAAAGCAGAGTGGGAATTAATTACCTGTTTCTAAAATATGGTGAAGTTAAATATTGAAAAGGCTGAATATTTAAGTGCAGATAGGATAAACATTAGCTATTAATGCAGGAAAAAAAGCATTAAAATTCCATTAGGTGCCTGACATTTTTCCTATACCTGTTTGAAGAAAACTCTCCCTTGATCCCAATCCTAGTGGGAACAACCACTTTCATTGTTTGATTTCCACCTCAAAGGAGTCTCTACATCAAAGGTCAAAATCATCAATAGTTAACCAAACTAATTAATTAGCTCTCAGGATCACTGCTAGAGCCCAATTTTAACATCATTTTCCTTTAATTCCCCTCATGTCCACCAAGTTGATAAACTTTTTTACAAGTTCTGTGCTCTAGAAATTTAATTGCACTTTTATTGTTGTGTTTGGAGTTAATTACACAGCAAACCAGGTTTATCTCTTAGATATTAAATCTAGCAAGTGCTCTTTGAACAATCAATTGGTATTTAATTACAACAGAGAAGCTGCCCTATTAAATCTAAATTAAATGCTCATTGAAGACTGTTAAAGTGTTACCAGACCATCAAACAGCAAAAGCAATACAATGAAACATAAACCCTGATGGGGTTGCTTTTCCAGGGCTGCTTTGGAAACCTGAGCAGAAAAACTGACCTCAAATGCCATTTCCCTGCATTTTTGGTGAATTCCTTTGCAAAGGTACCTTCACAAGGGCAATTTAACTTAACGAGTAGAAACAACAACACAGAGTTGTGTTGTGTCCTCCAGCCTGACTGGAAGGGTTTAGAATGGAAGGATTCAGGAGAAGCTCGGGAGAGGAGCATGGAAAAGGCAGGAGACACTTCACCAGGGATAATCCCAGAATCCCAGGATGGTTTGGGTGGGCAGAGACCTCAAAGTCCATCCAGTGCCACCCCTGCCATGGGCAGGGACACCTTCCACCAGCCCAGGGTGCTCCAGCCTGGCCTTGGACACTTCCAGGGATCCAGGGGCAGCCACAGCTTCTCTGGGAATTCCATTCCAGCCCCTCCCCACCCTCCCAGCCAGCAATTCCTTCCCAATATCCCATCTCTCCCTGCCCCCTGGCAGTGGGAAGCCATTCCCTGTGTCCTGTCCCTCCATGCCTTGTCCCCAGTCCCTCTCCAGCTCTCCTGGAGCGCCTTTAGGGGGGCTTTATCTGCAGCCTCTCCATGCTCAGGTGGAGCAGGACCCTTCCTCCTCCTCCAGGGAAAAACTGCTGAGCATTGACAAAGCAGTGACAGCAAAGCCAAGGGTGACACAAGGACAGAAGTTTGGAGTATTTATTTTGACTAAAGGGGCACCACATTGAAACCAGCAAGATTTTTATTGGGTTTTTTTTTTAATTATAAAGAAATTCTAAAGAAAACAGTGTTTACCTGAAATAGCAAAGAGGTTTGGGGTTTTTTTTGTGGGGTGGTGGTGAAAGGCACTGAAGTGACTCACGTTTCATTTTGAAAGAAAAACTTCCATTACTCAGTGTAAGCCATTACTCTGATGAGTTCTGGGTCATCCATCAGTCACTTCCCTAATGCATCATCCATATTCATGCCCAACCTTCTTAGAAGAGTGATGTTAATTTGGGTTTCCCTTGACTTGTTTTCCATCTTCATTTACCTGCACACTCTGAGCTTCCAGTCTGAGATAAGTGGAGATTTGTTTGATAATTTTCCCTGGGTCAATTAGGAGTGGATCAAGCATCAGACAGCTGGGAACATGCTCTGGGAAGGCTTTTACCTTCCAGCAGTTGTGAAATTAGACACAGGCACTTGCCAAGCTCAGCACTTTGGACCTTCTAGAGCCCGTGGTAGAGATGTAAAAAATCCAGTCTGAGGTTCATTTACACTCAAAATGCATTTGGTTACAACAGAATCTCATGATCAGCTGCAGGTGTAAGATTGACATGCTGTAAGAATAGGAAAAGAAAATTATTAGTTCCCAAATTTTCCCCTCTCATCTCCCGTTCCGAGGTCAAGGTGTTGTTCCATCCCTTCAAGCTGGGCCAGGGGAGGCTCAGGTGGGACAGCAGCAGGAATTTCTCCTGGAAAGGGTGGTCAGGCCCTGGCAGGGGCTGCCCAGGGAGGTTTGGAGTGCCCAGCCCTGGAGGTGTCCAAGGCAGGCCTGGCCGTGGCACTCAGTGCTCTGGGCTGGGGACAAGGTGGGGATGGGCACAGGGGGATCCATGGGCTGGGAGGGCTTTTCCAGCCTCAGGGATCCTGGGATTCAGTGGCACTTCAAGGCTCACAACCCCACAATCAATCTGTGGTTTTACTCCCCTTGGCTTTACCCCCTCCCTGCTGGGTGAGGCTCAAGCAGCCTCTGCTCCCTGTGCCTCTTTCCCTCTGGTCCCAGATCCATCCCCTGGCAGACACAGAGCTTTGGATGCTCTGAGCTGGGGCCTTGAGGTGCTCAACAACTTCCCTTCCCAGTGGCAGCCTCTGTCCATCATTCCTTCTCCTCTTTCTCCCCATGAAAGAACAAACTGGACGATTCCTTTGCCAAGGTGAGAGCCCAAAACGCTCTTTTTGCCCAGCAGGATGAGGAGTGGGGAAAAGTCTCTGAGCAGAGCGAGAACAAAGTCCAGGGGGGTTTGCTCTGGCAGCTCAGGAGCCAGATCCTTTACAGGGATGTGTGAGGAGGTGTTTCCTCACTGAGCAGTCAGTGATTCCCTTTCCTCCAACCAGCTCAGCGTGGTGCTCCCAGCTCTCCCTGAGCAACAGGAGACAAGGTCCAGTTTTTAAGGCTGTTAAATGCCAGAGGAGCACCATCAGGAGTGTCAGGAGCACATGGAGTTGTGCAGAATGCCAGCTCTCCAGGGGCAGGAGCCAGCACAAAGCACTCAGCAGCTCTGGCTCCTCCAAACCCACCTTGAGGGGGTTTTCCCAGCAGATCCAGGGAATGTGCTGCTGCTTTTCCCCCTCTCTGCTGAGGGCCTTGTCCAGGAGACCTGGGTTGTGTGTGGGCTCAGGAAAGCCAAGTGGTGATTCTTGAACTCCTTTTTAGTTTGCTTTTTTTTTTTTTCTTACTAAGAAATAACATTTTTGGTTCTAGGCAGCTCTAGAAAATTATTTCCAAGGTTCCACTCACTGCCTGACCTGCTGTGTTTGAGGGCCAGCTTAGGTTTTTCACCATGAATAAGGGATCACTGAATATGATTCACACCACTGGAATAAAATCCCATTTTTCAGCCACAGTAGGACCAGCAGAACCCAAAATGCAAACTCTTGGTGACAGGTTTCTCGAGTCCTGAATGTTTTCCCTTTACAACTCCTGCTCAAGTCTCAGCAGTTTGGAGAACTGATGAGTCTTGTGGCCTATCTTTGTTTCCCTCACCTTCTGCCAAAGAGGTGGATCTGATCTTTAATTATCACCTGAAGTGCTTTTCCAATTTGCTGGAACAATTTCAGTGTGAACACAACTGGCTGGGCTGGCTCCTGCCTGTAGTGATAGAACAATGGGAATGTTTTATACTGGGAAAGCAGAGTTAGTTGGGATATTGGGAAGGAATTGCTGGCTGGGAGGGTGGGCAGGCCCTGGCACAGGTTGCCCAGAGAAGCTGTGGCTGCCCCTGGATCCCTGGAAGTGTCCAAGGCCAGGTTGGAGCACCCTGGGCTGGTGGAAGGTGTCCCTGCCCATGGCAGGGGTGGCATTGGATGGGCTTTGAGGTCCCTTCCCACCCAAATTGTTCTGTGATTTCTGGCCATGGTGTTTCTTGTGCCATCCCATAATTTGCTCATCTTAGGGCAGAACAAATTTGAGAGTGGTTTAATAATCCCACCAAGGTTTGCAGTAGGACAAACAGCCCTTCAGCCCAAGCTCACCTGAGTGGGGATTGCAGATCAGCCCTTGTCCAGCTCTTTTATGAATGTAGGTCCAGCCCAGCTCAGCTGATCCAGGGCAGGTTGCAGATGGAGAAGGTTGTGCTCCTGTGACCATCCTTGGAGTGCCCAGCCCAAACGTTCCTCCACAACACTACCATGATGGGCAGCTGAGCCCAGCCCTGGCACTGCTGTGCTGCACTAAAACCCAGTCTAAAATTACACTTTATTGCCGTTTTCTCTGTAGGAAATGAATTGTTACCTGAGACTCCCATTACCCCTGAGCCCCTCAGCAATCCCCTCCTCCTCCAGGGCAGGTGGAGTTCCCAAATCTCCCAGGATGAGATTTCAAGCCCCTTGCAGTTGTTGCTGATGGTTTCTACACTCAAGTGTGCAATAACCTCTGAGCTTTTTATGCAAAATAGTAAAACTGAACTGCTGCTTATCCCATAATTTTTAAGTGTCCTGGAATTTATTCAATGGAAACTTAGTTATGTGATAATGAGGAGTTGAGTGGGAAAAAAAACCCACTGGAGTGAAACATAAATGGTTTCAGTCTTGTGTTTTTCTTTGGGAAAACAATTGTCTGTAGCTTCTGTCCTGAACAGCAGCTATTTGTGTGCATCCTGATAATTTATATGATGGATAATCAAGTGGATCCATTGAAAGAAAAGGTGAAGGAATGGTGTCTCTGAGCCAGCTCCTACTTCTGCTGGAGATGTTTCCTCCCAAGCCTGTGTGTGTCTAAAGCTGATTTTTTTCCCTAATTGAAATCACATGGGGTTTAATGTCCCTCTGTAATATCCCCCTGTCCCCAGCAGATAAAAATCCCCCCCATTAGACACTGCCACCAACTCAGCACATTAATATTCATCATTACCTTTTGCATTTTGCCTTTCAATTAATTTCCAGCCCACATGAAAGTGCTCCTGTCTAAGCCTATTTAATTAGTTTTCAGGGTAGACTTTCTGTGAGACACTTTCTGCCACTTTGCTCCAAACATAATAGAGATTCCTGGAATCTGCTTTGATAAGTCTATTGAAAGCACAATCAGCTCTGGTTAGCAAGATAAATCTGGGATAAATTCTGCTGTCAGCGCTTTTCTGAGCTGCTTAAGACTGAAAATATCTCAATTATTGGCAATGTGGAGAAATCCTGCCTCAAAAAACATGGGGTTTGTGGAAAAATCTTGGCCGTGGTGTCACCCATGGGAGCAAGAGGGTTAAATGTTGTCTATGAAATGTGTTTGCCACAAAACCTCTTCTTAGATGCCAGACTGTGCTTGAAACAGGAGCAGGGAGTGAATAGTGAGCATTTTCATGTCCACCCAGGGGTCAGTGAGTGAGATATGAGACCTGTGTGATGGAGGTGCTGCTTGGAGGTTGGGGACAACCTTCCCAGATCTGCTGTGAACTTCAGCACCAATTTTCATGGGATCGTGGAATGGGCTGGGTTTGAGGGGACCTTAAAGCTCATCTTATTCCAACTCTTTTCCATGGACAGGGACACCTTCCACCAGCCCAGGGTGCTCCAACCTGGCCTTGGACACTTCCAGGGATCCAGGGGCAGCAACAGCTTCTCTGGGAATTCCAGCCCAGCCTCTCCCCACCCTCCCAGCCAGCAATTCCTTCCCAGTCTCCCATCTCTCCCTGCCCTCTGGCAGTGGGAAGCCATTCCCTGTGTCCTGTCCCTCCATCCCTTGTCCCCAGTCCCTCTCCAGCTCTCCTGGAGCCCCTTTAGGCCCTGCAAGGGGCTCTCAGGTCTCCCTGGAGCCTTTTCCTCTCCAGGTGAACCCCCCCAGTTCTCTCCCCTTTGCTCCCAGCAGAGCTGCTCCATCCTCTGACCATGCTGGTGCCCCCTCTGTTCCCCCTGCAGCAGCTCCCTGTCTTTCCTGTTGTCTCTGGTCCCTGTAGATGAGGAAACTTTGCCTCCCCCCTTGTTTGTCTGTGCTGCATTTGAACCTTCACCTCAATCAGGATAGAACATCTCGGTGCCTGACCCCCCAGAGCCCTCCCTCCTGCCACTCCTCAGCCCAAAAACGAGTAGCACTCAATGCCACTCCAGCTGGCTTTCAGAGAGATTTATGGCTTTTGTTGTGGAGCTGGATTTTATAAATAATGCCTTTGCTTTAAGTGAGAAGTTATTGGACAGACGCTGCCTCCGTGTCAGCTTTGATGGAGTAAATGCCAGTGGGAGGCACTTCTTCTGAACAGATTCATCTTCTGACACGGAGATAGCGTTGTATCCTTGACTACAAAGCTGGAAAGAGCTGCAGAGCAAATGTACTCGTTCTGTTGGCTGAGAATGAAGTGGCCCAAGCCAGGATTGATCACCCCTGAGTGCACAGGGGGGTGGGTGGGGTGTCCTCTGCTCGCCTTTCAGCAGCTCCTGTCTGTGTTACAAACAGAACCAGCAAAGCAGGGAGAGGATGAAACCAGCACAGATCTGGAGACAAAAACACACCAAGAATATGAGGAAATAACATGATCTGGGCATTAACCTGGCGAGCTTGTCTATAAAATTCATCTCCCAGTGAGCACAGTGTTCGCATTTACAGACCTTGCTGCTGGGTCGGCTCTCTGTGAAACAGGTTCAATAGTTCCCTTTTTAGTTGCTTTTATCTGTACACACAATTTATCCCTGCACACATCAGGTTGCCCAGAGAAGCTGTGGCTGCCCCTGGACCCCTGGAAGTGTCCCAGGCCAGGTTGGAGCAGCCTGGGCTGGTGGAAGGTGTCCCTGCCCATGGCAGGGCTGGCACTGGATGGGCTCGAGGTCCCTCCCAACCCAACCCATTCCATGATTCTGTGATCAGGGCTTTGCCACTCCAGGTTTATGTGAACAGCTGTAAAGTGAACAAAACCATGAAAATAAGAATTTTTTTGAGGTGGCTCATAAAGTTTGGAGAGTGGCAGTAAGAGCAACTAAATCCATACTTTAGTACAAATTTACTTTATGCTCCTTCAGTGAGTTCAGTGGGAAGCACATTTATGCCCCAGCAGCAGTGATTTCAAAGCCTTTACACAGGCAGCTCAACTTGGTGATTTGCTGAATTGTTGTGATGATTACTTGGAAAATCTGATAATGATTGAGTTTAAAATGCATCAAACGTTCCTGGAGCTTCCTAACTGATTGTTGCAAAAATAATCATTATGGTGCATTATGCTGAAGTGTTTGTTTTATACTAATTGTTCTGACCTTCTTCCTCTGTGGTTGATGAGATTTCTGTGCATAATTAAAAGGCCCTCCAGGAAAAGAAAGAAAAAAAAAAAAGTAGTCAGCAAAGTAATCTATAGGACAAGGAAATGCAGATCATTCCCATCACCTTAATTCATTTAAAATTCAGTCTTTAATATTCTTCCTTCACCAGTGCTTAGTGGGAGCTAATTATAAGTCACTTTAGTCTGTTATTAAGATGCACACAAGACTTTTTTATCCCCATCCTGAAGCCAAAGTTTTTCATTTCCTTGTCTTTTAGGGCAGGCAGTGGTTTCTTTAGGAACTTGTGCAGAGGAAGGTGGAGAATGAGATGGGATTTAAGGTCTTTCCAACCCAGAAACCATCCTGGGATTCTGTGATTCCCTCTCAGCAAGGCTCCCCAGGCCAGCAGGCAGGGGTGACATGGGACAGGACTGTCCTTGTGTCCCCTGTGAGGGGGGAGGAAGCAGGAAAGGGAAAGATGGAGCTTGTAGAGATCAGAGAGAGATCAGTTCCTTACAACAGAGAGGAGTTTGGGACCTTTATTCTCCTTTTTGCCTTTGCTTTACCAACTTTAACTGTGAAAAATCATTGTTGAATAGTCCTGAGACTCTGAGAGCTCTGGATTTTATTGAGAATTTCAATCTGCACTTTCAGTTAAACAAACTGCCAGTGAAGTGAACACTGAGTGGAAGTTTTAAAGAATCAAATCTGCAAGGGTATGTGCTTCTGTCCTCAGTAATCCAGGTATTTTGGTCGTGCCATTCTGTCCAGGTGGTTAAAGACCCAACCACTGTGTTGCCCTGTGTTAATCAGCAGACCAGATGTTAATTAGCAGGTCAGTCCCAGCTCTTTGGCAGCCTCAGCAAAGGGGATTCCTCTAGATGTTAGGAAGGAAAAAAACCCCAAACAATTAAAATAGGCCTGAATTTACTGGGTTGATCCCTTTCTTTCTGCTGGCCTCAGATACCACAGAGATTTTGGGGTGAGTAGTGCTTTTATCTTCTCTCTGTGAAGTGTCTGCTGTCTTGTAGACCTTAAAGAAAAGGTGCAGCAGCCTCTGGAACACTGTCAATAAGTGGTGAGGGAATAAAACAACTGCTTCAAGATGCAGTTGTGAGTGAGGGTTGAATCCTGGTAGGACCTGGAGTTTGCTGGGGGGCTTGGAGAGCTCAGCCTGAGTAGCTGCACTCATCCCTCTGAATGACAGCACAGTGCTGAGCCCTGTGTGAACCACAAGTGCTAGGGGAGACAGATTTTGTCCTTGGAAATGCACATTTCACAAGCACCCACTTCCCTGAATAAAAACCAGGACGTTTTCCAAGGTGTTAAAAATGCTTGTTTCAACTGCTGTGTTCACTGAAGAGAATTAAAGGGGATAAATCTTGAAAAGGCAGGGCCCAGAGCTGAGTGTTGGGAGTCCAGTTGTCCACAGCAGGATTTGCATCTCCTTAGAGCTCCTTCCTCCCACACCCCTGACATTTGAAATTGGCTCAGTGGATGTAAAATCCCATCGATTCATTAATTTTTAAAAGCAAACTTTGCAAAGATGCATCGGGGAGAGAGATGCCCAGTTAGAAAGGTTAATTGTTGTTTCGAGGCGCTCGGGAAAATCAATGGGGCTGGGAGCTCCAACGCTCCCCGTGCCAGGATTCTGTGGAGCAGCAGCTTCAACCTCTCCCTGCTGGGGCCCAGGGGTTTTGTCCCTCGTGGAAACAGAGCAGTGGCTGTGCAGGGACTCAGCTCACAGCAGGAGAACTGGATCAAGCTCCTTGTCAGTGATGGAAAATTAAGGAATTGTTGTTTTGGCAAAGGCCAGAGGAGGTTCCAGGGAGTCTCCGATTGCAAAACACCCAGGGCTGGTTTAAAAGCTGATGTTGGAGGTTACAGGGACAGTCCCTCAGGAAACAAGGGGCAGTTTAAGGGCTTTTATCTGTTCCTCCTGAGGGACAGTATTCAAGGACAGTGTCCCTTTTTCCTCCACTGAGGAACCTGTAAGGGAGCAGAAGCAGCAGAGCTCACCCAGCACAGACTCGCAGGACCATTTGGGTTGGGAAAGACCTTTAATTTAAGTCCAACCATCCCCAGCACTGCCCAGGCCACCACTGACCCTGTTTGTGGCAATAACCAGATTAAATTCTATTCCTGGGCTCTGGCCCTTCTCATTTTCTCCCTGTGTGACCTCACGACATCCTTTTCCTCCTGAGTTACTACCCCTTCTTGGAAGGTTCAGGACTCAGTGTTCTGGTTTAATTTACACTGTTGGCACAGTCCAGGGCTTTGGTGTTCACCTGCTGGGCAGAATCCAGACCTGGCTCTGGATGGAGAACAAGTCCCAGTTTGCTGGGGGTGGAAGAGCCCTTGGAGGTGACCCAGAGATGTGTTGTTTGAACAAACTCTGAGGCGAGAAAACAATCGTTTTTCTCTCTCCTTTGCCACGTGAAATGGAGGCTCAAAGAGATCAAAGGCAAAGCCTAATTTTGGGTGCTGTGTTTGTGGGTCCTGGGCCTGGTTTTTGGGTGAGTTCAGTGCCCGTGCTCACAGCTGGTCCCTTCTCTTCCTGAAGTGCCAACTCCAGCCTAACTCAGGGGAACATAAATGTGACAACAGCTTTGAGCCTGACTTAATAGATTTAAATGCTAAAACACAGCAGGAGTTTTGTTCAGAACACGAGTGCAGCTCTGGAAAGATGAAAGTGTAGAAAATTAATGCCAACAAGACGAGAAAATGAGATTTTTAAAGACTTCTGGCACTTCCACTTCAAAACTACCTGATCAAGGCTGTTCTTTTGTCACCCCTCCCTCCCCCCATGTCCTTGGAGTGTCCTGGTCCCAGGATCAGGGCCTGTCATCCCAGGAATTCCTCTCTGAGCCCCACTTTAACCAGACATCCAGTGTGTCCCTGCTCCCCCTCCCTGCACTGATCCTATTTAGATGGAAGGATACAAAAGCTCCATTAGCCTGAGCTAATCTAAGTAATCAGAATTATTTAACAGCCTTGTTTTCTGCACTGAGTGAATGTAGCACATCCAGCAAATCTTCATGTGCACGAGGAAAGCTGATGAAAGCTGCTCATGAACACCAGACTAAATTAAAATCACTCCTAATGCCCATTGAAACCTTACACGGGAGTTTTAATGAGATATTGCTGATTAGAGCTAGTTCTAGGATACCTGTCTTTATCCCTTTTTCCTTGGGATTTAGCAGTAATTTGTACTTTAATAGCCCAATACTGTCCTTTTGTACAGCTCTATTAGATTCTCTCAGATTTTATCCCTCCTCCTTTGATGGTAAGAAAAATTCCACAGGATTTTCACAATGCAGACACCACTCTGGAGTTTTACTCATTGTCCAGCATTCCAGCCCTTCCCCAGGGTCTGGGTGAAGGTGGAGCCTTCTGAGTAACCACAGTTGTTATCTGAGGAGTGAGTGAGCTGGGCACAGAATCTTGGAATCCTGGGATCATGGAATGGGTTGGGGTGGAAGGGACCTCAAAGCCCATCCAGTGCCACCCCTGCCATGGGCAGGGACACCTTCCACCAGCCCAGGGTGCTCCAGCCTGGCCTGGGACACTTGCAGGGATCCAGGGGCAGCCACAGCTTCTCTGCCCAACCTCTGCCAGGGCCTGCCCACCCTCCCAGCCAGCAATTCCTTCCCAATTTCCCATCTGTCCCTGCCCTCTGGCAGTGGAAGCCATTCCCTGTGTCCTGTCCCTCCATGCCTTGTCCCTCTCCAGCTCTCCTGGAGCCCCTTTAGGCCCTGCAAGGGGCTCTCAGGTCTCCCTGGAGCCTTCTCTCCTCCAGGCTTTTCTCCAGCTCTCCCAGCCTTTCAGAGTCACTCCTGCAGTGCCACAGAGAGACAGGAACCAAAACTGGTGTCACCTCTGCCCCCAAGCCCTGTGAGTGGAAAATCAATATTCAATATTTGTCCTTATAATGCTGAGCACTGAAGGAAATGGATCCTGGTGAGAGTCCACAGTCCTTATCCCTGGCATGGTGACTGCTGGGTTTTCCCAAATGGAAGTTGTATTTTGGATCTTTAATTCCCTAGTTTTGGTTGGCTCCCATTGCCGTGTGCTGGGATGGATGATTTTGTGGTGTCTGACATTCAGACAGAGCCAGAAATCCCACAGGCCTGGATCCTTCCCAGGGCTGGATGGGCTTAGGAGGAGAAGGATTTTGGGGCAGGAGGAGTCCAGCTTGTCTTTGGCTCCTCAGCCATAACCAGGTGGCTTTGCTGGGAAACATGAACATCCCTGGAATGCTGGGCTGCTCAGGGATCAAACAGGGTAACAAACACATGTTTATTGAACATTTATTTATTTATTTATTTATTATTATTATTTATTATTATTAGTTGTTGGAGGTGTTTTATTTCTTTAGAGTTCCTTTGCCCCAGATCCTCCCTCTGTGTTCCCTGGCATTTCCCAGCTGGATTTCCTCCATGACTCAAGTTGCTTTTAGGCATCAGCCATTACGTTGTTGGGGGCCAAAACCCAACCAAAGCAACGACATTTTACAGGTTTCAGTTTTAATGTGGTCAGGGGGAGGAAGGAGGTGTTGCTATAAAGCAGGAGGAGCAAAGGGGTGGTGCCCTCACTGCTTGGGATGCAGCACCTGATGCTTCACCCCCCGACCCTTCCCATGTCCGTTCCCATTTTGGTCCTGATTTCTTCTTTCGGTCTCCACAAATAAAGCAGGACTTTTGGAGAAACAATAATAGGGGGAAAAAATAACCCAAACATCAACAGAAAGCTTTAGAGAAAGGCAGAAGGCTCCAGGGACCTGGGAAAAGAGGGAAACAGCCTGAAAACCAAAGGCTGTATTTTATCTGTCCTATTTCCACAGCACAAGTCAATGAATTTTAAGGTTTTGAATCCAATCTACTGTTGCCATAAGAACTGGACTTCAGCCATTTGTCTTGTTCTCCTTTAAAATAGATCAGGGCAGATCCTTTGGGTTTCCCTCATTTCTCCCTTTGATTTGGGCAGATCCTTTGGGTTTTCCTCGTTTCTCTCCTTTGGGTTGGGCAGATCCTTTGGGTTTCCCTCATTCTCCCCTTTGGGTTTCCCTAATTTCTTTTCTTTGAGTTTCCTTCATTTCTTTCTTTGGGGTTGGGCAGATCCTTTGAGTCTCCCTCATTTCTCTCCTTTAGGTCTCCCTCATTCCTCTCTTTTGGGGTTGGGCAGATCCTTTGGGTTTCCCTCATTTTTCCCCTTTGGGTTGGGCTGTATATATTTGCCAGGACCAGTTTGCTGTAGGAAGGTCTGAGGGTCTTCTCTCAAGCTAAAACACCTTAAAATTTAAAATGTGAATATTTCTACTGCCTCGGACTGGAGCTGGTACAAATATATCCGTGATTAATTCAAAGTCACCCCAGCCCAGGTGTCACCTTTGGTAATTCCCAGGTGTGGGATGGCCTGGGACCCCTGTTTTGGTGTCCCTGTGTGCAGCAGGGTGAATTATTGCCTTCAGAGCCGGAGTTGGGGGGGGAGCAGCGGGGGATTTTGGGAGTCGCTGCAGGCACTGTCACTGTGGAGTGAGTGTGGCTGAAAGTGGAGCAGAAAACAAGATGGGACTTTGCCACTGCACATGTCTGGGAACATTTCTCCTCCTGGCATTCCCAGCCTTCCCGTTGTCCCTGTTTGCTCACAGCTCATTAAAGGGGCACCTGAACATTGTCCCCATCCACGATCCACAGCTCCCTAATTCCAGTCACTTTGAATAAGTAATTTGCAACTGAGTTCCCAGTGCGGTTCTGTGGATTGAAACAATCTTAATTATGTTCAAGGAAGAAAAAAAAAAGAAAAATCATTAATCTGTGGTTTGATCACGGCATTTAATCAGTTTGTACCAATTAATTCCCGGTATTTCCACCATAATTAGAGATTTTTAAAAAATAATTGATTTTATATATGAATATATATGCACAGACCTGAAAACTATCCTCTTTAAAACAAAGGAATACATATATATTTATATATATATATTTAGCAGACTGGCTGAGTGTCTCTAAGTTTAAGGATATGCTGAGTTTAGAACTGTCTGCAGTTCAACTCCTCTGGGAACCAGAGAAGTGTGAATTCATCAGATGCCTCTGAGGCTTGTAAATGTGTCACCTTGTTTTCTAAAGCTTGTCTTACTGAAACAAGAACAGAGCAACAGCTGGGGAAATGCAATATTTCACTCCCAGACAGATATTTATAAGGAAAAGGGGGATTTCACTGGTGCTGTCACGTTAGCACTGGTCAGTGTGGGACCACTGCTTAAGGCTTGTTTCAAAAAATACCTTTTTACTCCAAATATTCAACGTGGTGTCAGATCTGGAAATGGGCAAAGGAGGCACAGGAGGATTTTTGGCCAAAAAAAAACCCGAAAGAAATTGGATTTTTCCCACCAACGGGCTGTGGCCAAAGCGATTCTCTGCTGGCTAATTCAGGAACATTTCAGGGAAATTGGGCTGGGAGGGAGTAGGAGCTGAAGTCTTTTTGTTTTCTGTCTGCTTTGTGTAACTGAAGTACAAGTGGTTACCCTGGGAATGAGGAATCTGTCTTTTTTACTGTGCAATTAATCATCTTCCAACTCGATATGTAGAGACAGCAAAGGACAGAATCAGTGAGCCTGCCTGGCTAAAACGGGAGTGTTGTGCTCTCTATTTTGGTACAGAGAATTTCCAGCTGTAAATCTGTGCTTGTGCAGCACTGAAAAAAATTTTTAAAAAGGCTTTTTTTATTTTAGTCCCTTTAAGCAAAGAAATTTTCCAAATGAATTGGAGCATCAGATTTTGATGGTATGTGGGTGACAATGTCTTTTCTACACCTGCAGCAGGGATAAAAGGTGGTTTTAAATGGCTTCAAACTGAAAAGAGAGTAGGTTTAGTTGGGATACTGGGAAGGAATTGCTGGCTGGGAGGGTGGGCAGGCCCTGGCACAGGTTGCCCAGAGAAGCTGTGGCTGCCCCTGGATCCCTGGAAGTGTCCAAGGCCAGGTTGGAGCACCCTGGGCTGGTGGAAGGTGTCCCTGCCCATGGCAGGGCTGGCACTGGATGGGCTTTGAGGTCCATATCCAAACTGCCTCTCATCTCCCATATCCCAGGTTTTTCCCTCCTCTGCACCATTCCATCCTCAGCTGTTTGTGCTGGGAGCCACACGCACTAAAAAACAGTTTTTGGCAGCGCTGGGAGAGGGAAAGAGGAGAGAGGCCCTGCCAATAAAGAGCCCTCAGCCCCCATCACTGAGCTCAGCACCAGAGCCCCGGTGACAGCTGACAGCAGAGCTGTGTCATCTTTCATTCACACCACTGTGGGCTGAGGGAACACAACCACTGCCAAATCCATCAGGACCAGCCAGAAACAACCAACTCCTTGCTTGGCCCTCCCGAGGCAGAGCCAGGGCTGCTTTAAGAGCTGCACTCGGGGTGTCCCAGCAAGGAGGGGCAGCTGAGCCCTGCCAGGACAGCCCCCACCAGCAGAGCCATCTGGAACGCTGCGGGGTGGGATGGAGGAGGGCAAATCCAGAGGAATCCTGCCAGGCACCACCAGAACGCTGCTCTGAACACTCAGGGAAACGGGGGATTCTGGAGCAACGTTTTGCTCTGCTCCAACAGGGGGGTCTGGGGGAATGTCCAGGGGGAAGGGAAGAGTCAGCACTTTAAAATGACCTTTTCACCTCTGAGACCTTTCTGGAAGGTCTCGAGTAGGTTTTAGTAGGACTGACAACTTTCTTAAAGAAGCAGGAGGTTTAGGGCCATTTTTCTTAACTCAGCTCCACTATTAATGATTTGAAATTAAAACCTGTAGGGCTTTTTTTGGAGAGAATCCTTTGCTGGATGTTCACTTTGGTCAGAGTAGCATTATCTGGGACAAACCAGATGATTTTTATTACGGTTTATTTATTTATTTGTTTGTTTGTTTGTTTTATTAAGGTTTTATTAAAGTTTCTTTTATTAAAGAAAGGGGGAAAAGCTGAAGATTTCCAGCAATGCCTCTGACAACACCAGGGTTTTACCTTCTTCTCTGTAAATGCTTTTGATTTCTTGTTGGATGTGCTCATGTCTTGCTTCTTTCCCATATTTTGCAGCATCTCAGCATGTCTTTTATGGCAGCCTTTCTGGCTTTTTTTTTTATTTATTATTATTTCTAACACCTCCTATGCATAGAAAGAGGTGATAAAAACACTCCTAAAATACAAATAAACAACAGAGCAACATGTATGTCCTCACTCTTCCTCCTACACTTGCTATAATTTTACCCCATCACATTTCCATCCCTCTCCTTCCCTCAGAAATCCAAAGGAACCAGGAAGTCTTTTGCACTGACCATGCTTTTGAAAGACAGTATAGACCTGTAAATTAAAAAATAAAATAAAATTAATTTTAATAATTAAAAAAATTAAGTATTTAAAAATTTAAATTCCATAAATGAGAATATTATTCCAGCTGACAGGATGTGATCCAGGGGGAACCTTTGGCAGCTCCAGTAGACAAATCCTCTTCTTTTAGACTCTTGCCTCATATTTACTAAACTAGAGGAGCATT